ATATATATTATCCATGATAATTATGGGTGTGGGTGGGTGGGTATGTGTATATAAATATTTGTAAATATATATATATATATATGTATGTGTATATATATATGTATGTGTGTGTATGTATGTATGTGTGTATATGTATTTATATTTATATATATATGTGTGTGTATGTATATGTAAATATTATTATTATTATTATTATTATTATTCTATTATTATATATATTAGATGCCACGTTGCGAGACCATCCCTGAACCAGAGACTGCTGCGTGGGTAGAACGGAAAACGTATACATTTCTTCATGTACTAAAATACTAGCTTCGCGAGCCCTACTCTACGACCTGCATTCATTCATTCATTCATTCATTCATCCATCCATCCATTCATTCTCGTCGTGTATAACAGAGGCAAATGTACGGCTACTGTCCCACGTGGGTGCTGGACTGGATGCACCGCAAGGAACAGATCCTCAAAGAGATTGCCGTGCACGGGGCCGATATCGTGTGTCTGCAGGAGGTCGAGACCTCACAGTACCACAACTACTTCTATCCTGAACTTCGGAACCTAGGCTACGAGGGCTTCTTCTACGCCAAGACCCGCCAGCGCAGCATGAACGATGAAGACCGGCAACGGGTGGACGGGTGCGCCACCTTCTACCGTACAGCCCGGTTTAGACTGGTTGAGGAACACCTCATCTCCTTCTCCCAGCTGGCCATAGCCGCGCACGAGGCCAATGGCGGCAACGACCTACTCAACCGCGTCATGCCCAAGGACAACATCGCTGTGGCCAGCATCCTGGAGATTAGGGGGACCAAGCAGGCGCTCATGCTGGCCAACAGTCACATGCACTGGAACCCAACCTTCAAGGACGTGAAGGTGGTGCAGACGGCTATGCTACTGGATGAGCTGAAGCGTATTACGCAGAACTCGCGCCGGTTCAATATACCGACCGTCATCTGTGGCGATTTTAACTCGCTGCCCGACAGCGGTGTGGTGGAGTTGCTGGCCAACGGTCGCTTGGATACGTCCCATCCGGATCTGGGGAATGTTAACTACGGCGCGTATGCTGCGAATAAACTGAGGCACAGCTACCACATGTCCAGTGTATATAACGGTACGTGCCGCTTTGACTGGGTGGCCTGCCTGTACGGGCTGTCTGTGCTCGATGCCTGTTCTGCTGGATGTGTGAGCGTACGCGTGAAAGTACTACATGCCTGGTTGTGTGGATTCTTCTTATCTGCAGTTGCTTGTAGATGTCTATAGATGTCGATATGTGTTCAGCTTAGACAATGGCGGAGAGACTGGCTATTTCGGTAGTGTTCCTAGCGTACTCACTCGGTGTTGCTCTCTCGGCCCATGGGAGGACTAGTTTGTGATTGTAGTAGCTGCACTCCAATGTCTTGTCCAATATGTATATACGGATGTGTCCCTCTTAAATAGTATCGTTGTTGTTCACTTAGCCCAGTTTTGCACGAACTTGTATCACTAAATGATCGTGTCAGATATCCCTATTTCTCCTCCATTGTATATACTGTACATATCACAATGCATGTTTATAACATAGGTGTGTATAGAAGTATGGAAGATCTGGTTTTCGGTCCAATCAAATATGCTTTGGTACCCTGATAAGGCTATTTGCGTTCGCTTGTACATGCTCATCGATTTCTTGGCCGAGAAGAACACCATCCTCAATCATCTAATTTTTGCTTCGTACTCTGCACTGCAATAGTTTTGTTTGTTGGGTTTTTTTCCTTTTCTTGGCAGTTTTTGTTCAGTGAATAGTCGAATGATTCCTGTAAGACGTACAGCTGTTCGTACTAATATCTAGTACAATACTGGGGCCATCGACTCTTTGAAGGGCGTCTGTGATGTATTCATACATGTACATGTACATGTACATATACATATATTTGCCGTGTATATGCAATACTGACAACGTAGAAATACTTCAATACAACCAAGCTATCCCTCAGTTTACACTGTGTGAGTTTGGTTTTTGGAGTGTCCAAACTAATGGTGCTCCTCTCTCCCTTCTACAGGCGAAATGGACTACACAAACTACACATTCGATTTCAAGGGTGTGATAGACTATGTGTGGTACACCAACAATCATATAAAGGTGAAAGCCTTGCTGGGGTCGGTATCGGTAAGTGCAGTTGTGATATACATTTATTTGAACTCGTTTGTGCTGGCATAATACCCAGGATTATGCTGAACAACCCCTACTATAAATGTGTGATGATATTCTGTATACGATCTGGGTGAATAGTCGGGATGTCCTCGTGCAAGCATTCTTTGGTGCGTGACATACGAATTTCATTTCGAACTTACAGGCGTACATGGTTATATAGAATCCATTATAGCTTGTGTGCGTATATATATATATATATATATATGTGTGTGTGTGTGTGTGTGTGTGTGTGTGTTTAATATATATATATATATGCATCATGTTATGGTACTGTATTGAGTCTACTTCATCTATGCATATATACAGCAATGTTATATATACATGCATTTGCATCTTCAAACAGAATCTGCTTATTCATGAAAATTCAAGCATACAATCGATATCTACTCACTTGCGCCTCTGTAGATATTCTAACATCATTCCTCAACGGATGTATTAGTCCGTTTTTTGGGCTTGATTTTAAAATTATAAATTTTCTGCATAAACATCCGCGGATATTTGTGACATATGTTCATAAGTATATATATCCGATAATGCTATCCGTTGCATACCTATTTGCGAATGTTTGGATTCTTGATCGTTTGTATGACCTGCACTAATGTTCATGGCTAGGATACCCTAACTTTAGCACCCAATTTATTTTTCCAAGTATGTAAATGCCAATATATATATATATTAGTAGGCATATGCAATGTATCTTAAATTAGCAAGTGGATGAATATATCTATATATTTCTGTGTCCTTTACTCTACTTTTTATTATGGTTTCGAATATACGTACATCTGCTACACTGTCTTGTATACAAAAATAACCGTATGGAGTGTACAAGCTTACATATTACTATCCTGTACTGGATTTTATTGTAGTACCTATGGTGGCTCGCCCATGTATTGACATATCTCTACGATCCTGTACATGTTCTTCACTTCTATTATTGCTGATTGCTTTATCCCGCTTCTCTTTCATCTGTGCAGAAAAAATATTTGGAGAACTTCATGGGCTGCCCGAACCAACACTTCCCGTCAGATCATTTCCCCTTGCTCTGTGAGCTTGTTCTAATGAAATAATGCGGACCTCGGACATCCTGTATTAAAGTTATTGAATGTAAATATGTATGTGGCTGCTAAATGATATAAATGAATCATATCGCAATTGACATCTGACACGATTGCCTCAAATTAATCAAATCTATATACATTTTTTTATGTGGTAATTCGAACCTATGTGCATGCAACCGCAGGAGAGATGCCTTAGAGAATCTACTTATGTTTATATACTCTTTCGTCCACAATTGAGTTTGCTTTCTGGATTCCGCCCGCGACTCTTGATTAGTGTGTGTGGATGAATACACAGATGCAAGCGGTTTTATTTGCGCATGCGTATTGTTTTGTGTATGTTCTTGACTGTATCTGTGTCTTGCTGATGTTTACGCGTACGACCTGTATATGTACGTATGTTCATACGTTTTCACGCTCACATGGGTGCATCTAGCTTCAACAAAATGCACCTATACTCAGCTGTAGACGGTGCCGAAATGAGGAGGACTGTATATGGTCAATTTAGATTTCTTTTTTCTGGCTAAAATGAAGACACGACTAGATTGATAAGTTTTTCTCCGTTCCCTTGATAGACGTATAATTACGACATAACGTCTCGCAGAGCAATGTATTAACAGGTGAAGAATTATCAGCAAACGTGCTGATTTCAAATACATACCATCAAATAGTTATCAGCGTGGTAGAGGGCGACGGCTAAATTCGCCATTGGCAACGAGAGCACTCTACTCCCTCCCCAGCCCCCCGCCCCATTGTGTCTGCTGGCAACACAGATTTGATTTGAGAAGCCAATATCGGTCAACAACGGATAGATGGCGATAGAATAGGAATCCTTGTCGAGGACGAGCGCCCCAAAATATGGAATGGCTAAATCGTATTCAAAACAAAAATGTGATGGCCAAGTAAATCCAAAAAAGGCACAAAGATGTGCTATAATGGTGAATAGCCTTCCATCAACTATTTAACTGGCACTCCGTATTCTCGAAATCAGACTACATAGTCCACTTTGGCTTTGTTTCTATGTTGTCGACACCAAAAAGAGTCTGGCCCATCATGTTAGCTTAATAAGATCAAACATGTGCGAGTCGGGTGGCCAAGAATTCTGTATATGGTAACCGTTGTTATAAGTAGGAAACAATGTTTCTTTAATTTTCTCAACGAAATGCAGACTTATAGACTACTCACATGTAATAAACTTTTCATACCCACGAGGCGCGGTCGTACTGTAAAATGCTTTCCCCCTTGCATGGACAGATACAATTAGGCCAAAATATAACGTATATACTGCACAGTAATAACTGATTTCAGTACGTCATTATGAATCTTATCACGTTTATAACATTACATCTATTTACCAATAGGATAAAAACCTAATTTTCAGCGAGTAACGATGTAGTTACGCACATATTATAATTGGATGCATAACAATACACATGTATGTTGAAGTAGCTGTGGAACTTTGTCAAATTGGAATACTGCTTGTCGAGAACATACTAGAATATGCACATGAATGCTTCAACCCCTGGGATTCTGCACGTAGCCACCATATATCACGGCCTATTAAGTTCTCTAAAATCAGCTATACCTGGTGCGTCATGCACCCGGCTACATACGCAGCTGTTCCCTTCATTGCTTTTATTACGTTAGCTGCTATGTATTTCATTGCTAACTCCGTTTTGCCTAATGCGACCGAAAAATTGCTTTCCCTCTATGAGTTGAGGAACCCGTGCTCGATTAAGCATGTATCCACCTATCTACTTTAGTGTTTTGACAACCTTCATATTCTTCTTATTGTGCCGTATTATTTGGGCGTTCAGCACTGATGGCACTAGAACAAACACTATTGTTGCTTTCAGAATCGGTCTCGGACGCAGGACAACCCAAAGCAAGGCGAGCCAGCTTAGCGGTGACGGTCAGCTATAAGAATGATCTCGCCACCAGCGCAATATTTACAAAACGGTTTCATCTGATTTTATTTTTTAATTAATAAGCGGTCTTAGCCTTGGACGTGAACTTGTGCGCAAGATATGTAGCGAGTTCGATCGACACACGGTCTGGCTCGGCCTCATCCGTCCTTTTTAATGAGCCACTAACAGAATATATATTTCCTTTCCAGCGCATGGGCTCGGTTTGTATTTAATCCAATAGGGCATAAGGTCGGCTCACTCGGGCTAGTAGTAGTACCAGGCTGTGATTCGAATAGATTCAATAGACAGTAGTTGATCCAGCCTATGGCCTGCTCCTGGAACCCCACTAGAATATCTGAAGACATTTTTTAGTTTGAAGATTCAGAACTACAGCCATAAGTTCTACAGAATGATAGTACGGCACGCGATGTTGGAGTAATATTTCATTCTCATCGTCAAGGCTACAGTATACTGGGGATCATGTCGAGATATGGCAATATGGTGCTATTTTAGTATTGGGACGACTTTGTGAAGCGTCGTGACCAGTGTCGCCTCAAGTTGAACAAGCACAGACTTTAGGCCTGCCAAGAACTTGAGAATGTTCCCGCCTACTACCTTATTCTCACAATGACTAGCTAATTCTTAAAGCTGATGAGTAGAAGGTGTAAAATATTGACATATTAATACATATACA